AAATAGACATTAGTACCAGGCACAGACCCGGGACAGGTGCTACAGAAAAGCCTATCAAGTGCTGTAGAAAACACCAAACTAAAATTAAGAACAACAAAGTCATAAGTATGTGTATATACTCCTTGGCAGATTATTAACTACATGCAAAGATTTTGATAAAACAGGTTTTTAGAAATTTTTTAATTCAAACTTAAGGAAAACCTTCTCCTAGTAGCCACTTGTTGAATACTGTCATTTATTTTTATTTTATTCACCACCATGGAGCCCAGTTACTCCTTTTTCTTATTCACAAATAGTCCACATTATCACAGATAATGACTACAAGGATATTATCATCCTTCAACACTTCCCCAATGTTGCACTGAGTCCTTGCAGAAATTGTATACTACAGTGAATGAAATGGCCTTCTGTAAAAAGTACTATAATTAACAAAATGATTTTCAGTTTAATATATACAAGGAGGCCATAAAGTTCAACTGCAATCTTACACAAACTTTATGGCCACCCTGTATGTGCACAAAACTATAAATATAGTTGAAATTTGACTAAAGTGCTTTTATTCATCTTAGGTACTCAATATTCAATATTCTTAGAATAATGGTTATTTGAGAAAAATTTAATCTTTGAACATAAGACAGTAGAATTATTAAATAGCTATACATTCATTTATCTATTCTATTCACTCACTCATCTAGAAATTTTCAGCACCTAAGATGCAGAAACACCTAAGATGGGAAAACATTAGGCCCATAAATAAAGAACATTGTATTTAGTGTAGTTCTCAGAGACTAGAAACCTTTCCCAAAAAACAGTATTTGAAACCTGTAACTTTAGAAAAAGCTAAAACTTCAACATATTTTCACTCTAGTACAGGAAAGCTTTGAAATTTTCCTATTAGCATGCTAAGAAAATAAATTTTAAAATGGGGAGGAAAGATTTAAATTTCCTAGAACATTAGCCTGAGAATTTATAGGAAGAAAATGTCTGAGTATCCCTAAAAAATAAGAGAAAAAGGTTATTAAAATTTTTGTATTCTCCAAACTGGAGCACAGCATAAACAATTACTTAAAAAGAAAACTTTGATGAAAAGATAAAAAACTAAGCAAATGAATGAATTAAAACACATCTACATATATATATTGCAGGCACCCATTCAACATTATATGCAGGCTAGCTTTGTATTGTCTTTTAAAATAGAATCATAACTTCTTTATATATTAAACAATAAGGCTCTCAAGATGCTTATGAAAAAGTCTAATCAAATTTCACCTAGAGTTAGCAATCTGTTAAGAGTATTAGGCCTACATAAACCTGATATCTTAAATCAGGAACCAATATACGCTACTTTTCATAGCAGGAGCTATATAAACTACAAGCTCTTCCATGTTTTCATTATGTGATTTGATTTGTTACACTACAAAATAAGCCATATTCTCTACCCAGAGTACTCTAAATGCAACTGTTTTTACATCTTTTAGAATTTATAATTCATCCTACTCTACAAAAAGAAAACTACAAGAGGGTTTGCATTTGCCACTTACTATCTTGCACAGTAAAATTGTGAGTATTTTTTCTGTGTTTAAATCCAAGCATTTTGATCTATGAGGTTTCAGAAAGAAGCAACTTTATAAGATTTTCTTTTGGTTGTTACTAATGATTTTAGCTTAAAGATCATCAGTTTCAACACTAACATCCTGCTATATTCTCATCTGAGTTGTTGTTCTCTTTATCTGGAAGGTAGACTTTATATATTACCATTACAAAAAAATAACTATTTGCATAATACTTATGATTTTACATCTATTACAAACACATCACAGGGAGCCTGAGGATGCATTCAGCAGCTTGTCATTCACCACTTCAAGACCCTTCAGAACCAAACAAGGGAGAGGGTGACATTTTGGTAATGGCAGAAGTATAGAAATGAATATAAATAACAAACCTTGAAGTTTTAAAAATACAAAAGAAAGAAAAAATACAAACAAAAAGAGATGATCCATGAGCAATAACAAAAGTTTCGATTTTTAAAACTCCTCTATACAGAGCAAAATGTTTGAAGATTTATGCATCTTCTATTATGGCAGCCGTTTAAATTATCTAAAACTATGTTATGAAAATAAAGAAAATTACCATCTCTTTTTGCTGGATTTTATAAATCAGTATAACATTAAAATTGTTGCCCCCATTTACAGAATTCAGTTTTTCCAGCTTTGTGAAATAATGTTAATATAAATTCTTTATTATTGTAACCTCAGCCTTACAAATATGTATACTAAGAATATTTAAGAGGAAGGTGATGATATAATGTTTAGAAATTGTTTCATAATTTCTTCTCAGTAAAAGAATTACCAAAAGAATATTTTTAAAGCTTATTTTCTTTCATAACCATCACTCCAGATAAAATGAATACTGAATGATCAGTTATGTCACCTCTAGTCCAAATGCCCATAGCACTTGCAGCTTTTCGTAAACAATATGCCTCTACACTTAACGCATATCCCTCAAGCTACCATCTTCTTAGTATGTTTAAATATAGTTTAAAATGCAGTATTACATCTTATACACACACAACACTGAAATGTGCAGAAAAGGAAGGAGGTGTAGAGCAGAAGAAATGGAGCACGTTGTTTTTCATTCATGCAGTACAGTGATGTCAGTGTCTGCAGCAGCAGTGGCAGCGGCAGGAGCCTTGACCAATGGAGGCTAAAATACACTGAAGTCAAAACCTTGTAGAATTCAAAAAAAACTGAGAAGAAAATCATTCGAAAAATTAAATCAACTGTTCACAGTATGGATTTTAAATGGCTAAGTAAACAGAACAGATTAGTAATATAGTTTATAATCTGAGTGGGGAGAACAAGGCAGAATGTGGAGAAGTAACATGGGGTAATATAATCAGGGAACCAGGGGCATAAGAGCCTGCATTCAAAATCACTTCAATGTAAGAAACTAGCAAAACCACCTGGTGTTAGAAACAGTAAAAAAAAAAAAAATCCTTAGCAGAGAAAGCCCTTCCATCACTGACACTGAAAATCTGTCTGCTGCACAACCACACTCAGAAAAGTATTTCCATCATGATTACATTAAAATTGCATTAAACTGGAATGTGCCAGTCCAACAAAGAGGAGAGTTTAAGCCTGATCACAAATTTCATTAAAACTACTTGATGATGGAGCATGTAATTCGTAAACAATTAAAGCTTTTGAATGATGCAGAAAAACAAGTTGTACTATTATCTGTTGTAAGATGTTTGTGTTTATCAACAAAAGGAGAGGAGGTACTAGATGGCCATTATATTGTTGCAGCAATTGCCAGAACTTCCCTTACTCTGCCCACAACACCCTCCTTACACAATCTGCAATGTTTATGCCTCTTACATTAGTCCCTGAAAGAAAATCCCCAAACTCAATTTATGCACTGTTGAAGCTAAACCACACAAAATACACCGTAACTGCTTTCTTTTCCGTTCTGTTACCTCTCATTTTGTATAACTCTAGAAAATGTGCAAGAGAGTTGCATATGGCATTAATCTGTTAGAAAATGGTGGCCTTTTCTATAAAATACAGCCAAAGATGTGTGTTCAGTTGTGGTCATTATTAGGGCGATCACGTTGTTTTCATTCATTCATTCAGGATTTGCTGGGGGATGTCAGTTTCTGCAGCAGCTGGCTTGACCTGGGGGAGGAGTGGGGGAGCAAATTCCTCCCAGTGCATACAGATTACAGGACGTCTTTCTGGGTGCCCATGTACTCATCCCACTGCACTATATGCTACACTGATTCCCCATCAAGTGACCAGAAAACAAGTGCCTTGGCCACATGCTAATTACAGGGCTGAAATATTAAAACAACACCAAAACTGCAATCTATCATAATGCAGGCAACCACTTTCTTTGACTCTAACACCTTCATTGAGAAAACTCCATTTTAAAAAAATTCCACATACCACATAAACATTGTAGAGCTTGATAGTGTTTCCCTTCCAACCAGAGATTTTTCCATTCAGTATGATCTGTTTCCTCCACAATGCAGCAGCAGCAGCAGCAGCATCTGTAGCTCTAGCCTGGTATCTAATAGTATTAGCTTATTCTACCCTTCCTTATAAGCTTTACATCCCTGTTTTGGCTAATCTTCCTTTTCTCCCCCAGGACTCAACTACATCATGTACTGTGTCCCTAGACATAAACAAAACCAAAACAAAACAGAAAACATTAAAGGAAGCCCAAAGCATCCTCCAGCTCACCATTACCTTTGACATCTAACAAAAAAGAAACTTGAGATCCTTGAATATTTCAACTGAACTGTTAAGCGTACTTTTAAAAATGAAAAGAAAAAAATGAACACATTCCACAAACAGGTTTTTAGGAATTTACCATGAAAATCTCGGGTTGGGCAAAAACTGTTTCTAGTGCAGTAGTGCTCTGATGCATGACTAGTAGAGAGACTAGAGGGGGAAAAAAAAGTATTCACTCCAATTGCACATTCAAAATTGTCCCCTCTACACATCTAGCAGATATCCTTACATCTTAACTAAAGCCACCAACCCTCCAAAAAAGAAAAAAAAAATGATCCCTATAGTTACAAGGCACGTTAGGAACTTTGCAGGAAAGCACAAAGAGGCTGTAGAGATTACAACCACCACCTTATCCGCTGCTGGAGAGTTTTGTATGCGTGTTTAAGTGTTTCGCCCACCTCCTCTTTCCCCGACTACAAACAGCAAACACATGAGCTAGCTAGCCAGCTCTTAAACTGAAAAACCTTTTGAAGCAAGCAAATGATGGAAGATAAAATCTGAGGGGTGGCATGAGGGTCAAATAAAAGTTGCTTTTTTCAGTTCGCTCCTCCAAGCCCTGCAGCGACCACAGGGGGTTGAGATTCCCAGAGCCACTTTCACACCTTCGATAATGCATTAGCAAAGAGAAGCCCGGAGAGGCTGAAGTTTCCACGGAGGGCACCGTCGGGGGGACGCAGCCAGGGAGGACGGGAGGGTTGGGCTCGCTACCTCTGCACACGGGCGAGCCGGGGCTCCGTCTCTCAGGTGAGCTGCTCCTCCGGTGACTCTCAGGGGACCGTCTCGGGCGGCCCTTGGCCCGGGGTGCCTGTTCGGCCGGGGCTGCGGCCGGCGGCGGCGTCGAGCTGGGCGGGCTGGGGCCGCGGGCCGCGCCGGGCCCCTGGAGGCTGCCCAGCGAGGCGGCGGCGGCGGCGGGCAGGCGCGTAGGACTGTGCTGGCTGCCCCGCAGGAGCTGGTAGGGCACAGTGGCGCGGATGGGCTGCAGCAGCCGGCCGGGTCCCGCAGCCGGGGCACAGCCCACGCCGCCGCCGCCCGCACCGTTCCCGCTCCCGGCGGCGGCAGGCGGGGAGCCCGCGGCGCTGCGCCGCATCCTCTGCGGCGGGGGATGAGGGGTCTGAGAGGAACTGGAGGAGGAGGAGGCAGTGGACATGGTGGGTCCGCGGGCCCCGGACGACGCCGGCCGACACCGAGGCGCGCGGCTGGAGACGCGCGAGCGTGTGGGAGCCGGCGCGATAGTGCGTGCGAGTAAGGGGGAGGGGCGGGGGTATGGGGAGGGGGAGGAGTCTCTGGGCTCCCCCTTCCAACGCACACCCCCGCCGCCTCGGAGAGGGGGGAGGGGAGGGCTGCGAAAACAAACGTCCAACGGCCCCAACCGCCCAGCTGGGCTTCGCGTGGCGGTCACAGCCGGGGCTGCTAGGAGCCCGGAGCCGCCGCCGCAGCCGCCGCCCCGGGCATCGCGCTGACAGGGCAACTGCCCGAATCACGCAGTCCGGGGGCCGCGCGCAGCCTTCTCCTCAGCCCTCGCGGGGCTTCACGCGCCGAAGAACCGGCAGCTGCAGAGAGGGCCGGTACCCCAGCTCCTGGGGACAGGGGTGGGGGAAAAGGGCCTCGAAGTGCCTGGCGCTCCGCAGAGTCCGCCCCAACGCAAACGCCGCCGCCGCCGCCGCTTCTACCCACTCCTCACTCGGAATGGCAACTAATCCCCCCAGCACACCCCGCCCCCAGCAACGCCTCCCGGCGCTCCGGACCCGGCAGCTGCCAAAACGAGCATACCCATTGGCTCCGCCGCTCTCCACCCGCATTCTAATGATTGGTTCTGGAATAGGAGTGAGAGGAACATTCTCCAATGACAGTGGTGCCTCCTACTTTGGGGGCGGGGTGTTGGGAGGTGGGAGTAAGAAGTGGGCTGTGCACGCAGGGAGGAGCGTAAGAGTTGACAGGCTTTGAGGTGAGAGCGATACTACGAAAGTGGGTTCCCGTGTGTCCTGCGCGTGCCCCGACACCCACAGACACGCTTATGCCGCATAAGATGTTGTAAGAACTCCACCCTCCTGGGCCGTCAGTTCAACTTGAGACAGAGGCCACTTGAAGGAAACTTTGCTTTACAAGTACACTTGCATCGGTGGGATGTTTAGAGTTAGAACCAAAAAGCTGAATCCCCTCTTCTTTCTTTTTAGTAATCTTGAGTTTTCGTGGCTAGCATTATTAATCAAAAGAACTTCAGGTGGTCAGGAGCAAAGCCCGGAAGCTGGATTGAACAAAGGTCGCATACTTTTACAGCCTATCCTAACATTTGTATTTATTCAGTGAAAAGAGATAATCAAATTCTATATTCCAAAACAATAGCTTAGAATAGCAGGTGTCAACATCATTACACATCAGTTAGAGATATTTGCAGAGGGCAGCTCCATTGCCTTTCCCGAAGCATATGACCTCTTGGATGGAATAAATACCAGGTGTGATGTAAAAAGCCACTGTGGTAAATTTGTTTTTTATTCAATGAGGCGGTACGAAGATTTTGGATGACTATCAAAATCTAAAATTTATCCCCACAGCAAACCAAGGTTTTAAACCTTAAGCAAGACCAACTAATTTAAGGAACTTTATCAGACATCTTCCATAAATTTCCATGAGGTTAAAAAAAGAAGTAGGATGGATGTCAGATTGGTCTACAACTGGTGTCTGTCCATACTCACAAACTTTCTGATTTCAGGCACTATAGTGCAGGGGTCAGTTTCACGTGGAGGAGCCATCCTTCTCTGCCTTCTTGTGTGGTCAGACCAGAAAGCATGATTTTGTAGCATAGGAAATACCTCTGTTCTTAGTCTCCCCATCCATGCCTTGATTATCTGTGGGACAAGAATCCACATTAGTTTATATAAGGTTGGACCTTATATAAATTGGACCGCACCTATGGTACATAATACAAGGGTACGTGTCAGCTCTATTAGTATAGAGCATAAAAATCTTAACACAATAACTAAGTAAATGAGATGAGGTATATATTAACCAGAGTGATGTAAGCATTCCTAATTCTATATGAATCAGCACATTGTACCCCACAAATGCATTAATGTATACATGATCTATGTGTTTATGATTTAATAAAAAATAAAAATAAATAAATAAATATAAGGTAGAATTATATTATACTTACTTTTTAGTCCAAATACGGTAATGGACTATATTTTAGGTTAAATTTAAATTTGTAATCATTGGCCATATGTGATTAATATGTATACCCACGTGGAGAGAAAATAAGATGAAGAATTATTGGGCTTATAGAGCTACCAAAATCTTCCTCTTCTAGTTCCATCTGGGCTTGCCAGACATCCAAGGCCCGTCCAAATCTAAGAAGCAGTCCCACTGTCAGTATTAGCAATGAGGTCATGGCTGGGAGAGAACACTAAACAGATCTGCACTGATGTTCATCTTAAGCTGATTAAAGTCTCTTCAACGTGGATTCCTAATAGCAACAACAACAAAAAAAGCCTTGCCTGAATTTTTGTCCCTGGCAGATGCTTAAATTAAACTCCTTACTGCTTGTGACAGTCTACGTGCGCCTTTGCACTAGGTGTTCCCTCTTCCTGAAAGGTTCTTGCCCAATATATCCACACGGCTTGCCCCTCATTTCCATCAGATCTTTACTCAAAAGTCACTGCCTTCATGATGAGAGCTTTTCTGAACATGCTTTTTAAAACTGTAAGCACCCCTTAGGCTTTTCTTACTTTCCACCCCACTCTTTCCCTAGAGTACCAATCACCATCTAAACTATGGGGTGTCCCAAAAGTCATCCCAAAAGGCACCATACATAGGAAAATGAGAAATTATAGATGAACGTACATTGATTTATAAAATATTCATTACAAAACTTTACAAAGAGGTGGCCAACATGTAGAGAATGTTTTGTAACTATTTTGTAAAATTTTGTAATGAATAATTTGTAAATAAAGGCACATTTAGCTATAATTTCCCAATTTCCATATGGTAACTTTAGGGGTGATTTGGGGGACACCCTTTATTATATATTAAAATTACTTCTATATGCCTAGAAGAGCCATAAAGTCAAGACTTTTTATTGGTTTTATAACTTGAATCTCTACAACAGTGCTTAGTACATAGCAATCAATAAATATTTGTTCAATGTTGTTAAGAACAGCAAATTATTTTGGCTGGGCACAGTGGTGGCTCGTGCCTATAATCATAACATCTCTTGAAGGCTAAGGTGGGTGGATTCTTGAGCTAAGAAGTTTGAGACCAGACTGAGCAAAGGAGACCCTCGCTCTAAAAAAAAAAAAAAAAAAAAAATCAAACGAAAAAGAATAGCAAATTTAGCCAGTGCTGGTCTCATGAACTCCAACTTATATCCTTCATGAAAAACAATAAAAATAGCAGTTATATCTCTGCTGCAAAAGTATAGCCACAGAGTAAGAAAAAAAACTCCCATGTGGCTACTGTAAACCATACAGACGTTTGTGTTGGAGCTGGAATTCAAAAAGAAAGCTTATGTTGTATTATGGTGCTTATATAGGTAAAGTGAAAAATTAGCCCTGGTGGGGTCCTGCAGGCTCATCAGAGGTCGAAAATGGAAAATAGAATTGGTAATGGAGAAAAAGGTAGTAAAAAGATTGCAGAAAAAAAAAGATGACTGAAATTGAGAGAGAAAGTTGAGGAGGATAAGTTAAGCAGTAGCATCTGTTGGTAGTTGCATCTCACAGTTAAGAATAGCTATTCTCAAGAGGCCTATGTAAAGGAACTGAAAAGTAAATTATAATTAAATAGGAAGGACTATAATATGTAAATAATGAAAACTTTGTTTTGTTTCTAAAAACATAGTTCAGAAGAAGCAATAGTAACATTTTTAACTGTTAACATCATTAAGAATGAAGATCACTGGCTTTTCTGCTTTCATCCCCACAGCAATCCAGTTGCCAACCACGATGCCAGGGACACATGCCCTAAGCTGAGACTGAAGTAGACTTTCACCATTTAACTAAAAGACCATCTCACTTAAAGCCAGCACATTCACAGGTTAAAATGTGGGAGCCAAAGAACTATAAATATTCTAACTCTTTCCATGCTGTGACATTCCATTTAGTCCCAAACATAGTGTTCACAGTACACAAAAAAGCAATAGTAGTCCTGTGAAGGGAATATGCTTGATTATTATAGTGTTATTTTTTAAAAGGAGACTTTAAATTGATTAAAATATGTCATAGGTTAATTTCTTACTACATGGCTGTATTTTACTTTTTGCCACATGAATGAGTGTGTTGAGGGACTGTTGGTAGATTGCAATCAACTCATCAGCAGTGCTTGACTAAGGAAGTTTCCTTCAATTATTTTAAACATTTTACAGCATATGGTTTCAGAATGCCCCACTTAGCATCTTACTGAAAAAGTCCATATTAATGCATCTAATAAGCCTATGTGAGGACTTAGTAGCAGCAATATTTGCATCAAACTGTAGCAACTCCTCAAGTAACACTCCATAGTAGGGCATACCTGCTCCCACTCTTCGGTAAATAGGAGTAAAAAGCTATGCTGAAATGTAAAGTTAAAACCATGGCTACACATACACCTTCCATAAAAGAGATACAAATAAAGTATTATGGAAGTGATGACAGAAAGCTCACTTTTGAAACTGGCAAAGGATAAAAGCACAGAAATAAAGGAAAAGAGAGTCAAGGACAAAATTTTGGAAAATTAATACATGAGTCAGGGAGGGAAGAGAACAACAACAGAAGAAAACAAATATAGAAAAGTAGGCAAGTATTGCTCAGCAAAATACAGAGTTCAGCGTCTCAGAAGATAAATTTAGGAGATGCTTTGTGGGGTATCTGGCAGACTAATATCCCTCTTCTTTGAGAACTAATCCTCTCCCAGCACACAGAGAGCCTGGCCGCGACAGCTATGTTTGTACAAAATGGCCTTGCCCCTCTGACCATGGTTGATTTGACCTGAGTTCAACAATTGACTAAAGTTGGGCCAATCAAATTTTCTCCCCTGGGAATTTGTAATTAAAAAATAAAATGTTCTTCTGTTAAGGGTAGATCTAGATAAACACAGTAACCTGTGGATGGAGTGGCCATTTTCTGTCATGGGCAACAGAGAAGCAGAGGAAACCTGCATTCTGAGAGAAGAGAGCAAAGTGACTGTCAGGAAGAAGGAGAAATGTGACCAGGTGGCCCAAAGGAGTGAGAGGGAGCCTCAGGGTAAGTTTATTTTCCTATGAGGACTATTTTGTGACTTATGCATTTTCTTCAGTCTTCCCAAACCATCCCCACTCCTGCCCCATCCCTGCTGATGCAACTTCAGTGTATTCCCATCTTTGAATCTACAGTTTTGTAACATTTGGATCCATTTCTCCTTTTTCTGGGCAAGTGATACATGTTGTCCTCTCTAACCAAAAGTCATCTCCTTTGCTTGTGATTTAAATTCCTTCCCCTCTTACCTTCTCAAAGACATAACTCCTTCAGTTATGCCCCATCATCAAATTCTTGATTATTCCCAATAATTTATGAACATGCTCTTAAGCTAACATTTAAAAAATCAAAACAAACATTCTTATGCTGTCCCTTTCCATCTAGTCCTAATTCCCTGATCCCTCTACAGCAACATCTCTCCCTCATTTGGGAGAGATGTCTACACATTACTTCTGATTTCCTATTCAATCTACTCCAATCTGGCTTCCACTCCC